CACTGGATAGCTGGCCAATCAGAGCACACCTCGCTTTTCAGACCGATGAGCTTTGTAAAAATCGACGCATTTCAGAAGGGCGGGGCATAGAGGAGCAACAATAATATACATTATGTGGAAAATAATGTTTTTTTTTTTACCTTAAACCGCATAAACACATTGCATTACGCCAAATACACAAAATAATGTTATTTTTAGCAAAGTCATATGACCCCTTTAATGGTAAATAAAAGTTAAAGCAAAACAAGCACAGCCCAGCAACTACAGTCTGACAAACTGAGATGTCCTGATTTGCCATTGCGAGCTTAGAAAGACCACTGAAAACTTTTATTGTGTTAGTGCTCACTGTTTTGTGTTTGTGTGATTTGACACAGCAATTGTTTTAGATATTTAAGTTTCATAAAGTCAGCAAAACATGACTGCTGGATTTAAAAACATGACCAGCAATGAATATCAACCACTGTCTCTTTACATCCTCATCCTTTGGAAACACATGCGTCATGGTTTTACTTTCACTGTGCCGGAAACAGTGTCTTCTAGACATTGCAACAACACGAACTGAACTCTTCCAGGCCTTAGCTACAACCACAGTGTTTGGTGGCAGGTCAAAGTACACATGAAGACCAAAGGCATGCATTATGCAGATTTGTCACAAAACTTCTTAGGTTTGCAACAGAAGTAAGTTTTCAATTACTGATGAATCATTTCAGGCAGTTCAGAAATAATAACTCCATTTGTCATGCACTTTGATCTTTGCTGACCTTTTATATTCACAAACAGCTATATTACTCACTACATGAAAGGTAATATCCGAAAAAGCATAATAGGGGCACTTTAATCACATCGCAAGTTACTCATTTTGTTTTATTATGTCCCTTTGAATATCCCAGGTCACCCTGGTCAAAATGCGGTCGCATATTTCATCTTGCACAAAGGTTCAGGAACAGATGGCCAATTGCCCAAAGTTCATGCCTGTGGTCCCCACCTCACAACCCATTCCCAGGTAAGCATCACTCCAGGGATCATTTGAGGTCAGGTTGACATAATCTTGGAAAATAACCTTGTTTTTATTTTCATCAATTACCTCAATTCTCTCATCATCACCTTTTTTGTTTTGTTTTTGCTCTTGTGAATGTTGCTTGCTAGTGTGACTACACTTTGGAAAGATGCAGGGTTTCAAATGTTTTTGTATGTAAATCAGTTAAATAAATAGGAAAGTAATGCACATATCTGAAAAAGTATGACGCAGCTGTAGTGTAATGTAAAAAAAAAAGATCAGGACAATAAATTTATAATTTGAGATTAAAGTAAAAAATATGTGAATAAAGTCGTAGTATTATGAGAATAATAGCAATATGAGATTACAATTATAATATTTATAGTATATTATTGGCATTGTTACTGTATCGTGCAGACCCGGACTGGCCATGGCGACTTATTTTTCCCTGCTCATTTTCATTTATTTATTTACTTAATAGGCTATTTATTATTATTTAAAATTACTGCCTGCACAATGCACCCAAGTGATTTCAGGATTCAATATGAAAACAAAAGTAATAAATGATGAATCTGCTTTAGTCTTGACTTGCAATGCTATCATTTGCCTCATCCCCAGTGAAAGGTTTCTATAAGGAAAAGCTCTCCATGAAGACACAGTGGAATGCAGCAACCCTGGTGGCTTTTCTCTATGGATCTTAGCTCTTAAGAGGGTTTTCTATGTGCAAAGGAATGTTCCAGTGCTGGTGAAAACACCTTTGGTTATAAAATAAAAGTAAATTATTAAAGGTGTTCGTTCTCATTTGGCCTTATTAGCTGTGTAGGCCACTAGGCTTTGGTGCCTCTTTTATTTATGGGATAAGTGTAAGGGAGCTGGAATGGATTTAAAAGTTAGAAATACACAAAAAAAGGAATGGTGCTGTCTTTACCAACATTAGTTTTATTGTTCTTAAAAATGAGTCAGTTAATAGAGTAGGAGCCTACTTTAACTATTAGAACATTTCCTATTATTGTTTTTTTATGTTAAAATACCTGTGAAGAATGAAAGGTTGGACACCACCAACGTTTTGCAGTTTTTTTTGTGTAACTTTCACACCGTCTCCTATGAAAGGATGGCATTTAAGAGGCGTCATATTTTTGTAACATATTTGTGCTAGTGTTAACTTTGTAAGACTGTCACTTCCAGACAGTCCAGGAAGTTGAATATCCAGCCAAAGTGGAACTAACTTTACTGCACAGATTTAACGTTTAATCCTCCACATCCATGCTGCTGGAATGTCATTTTGTTCATTGTGATAATCACACTGTATCTTGTAATAATGTGATTGTTTTTTTCTCAAAATAATTAATATTACAACTTTAATGTCAGTGCTATGATTTTATTCTCATAATTTTGACTTCATTCTCAAAATATTACTACTTTAATCTTGTATTATGTGGTACTAAGGCTTCACAATACAAACATATATTGTTTATTTTTCCTTTGTTCTTTTTTTTCTGATCCAAAACAAATCACCGAGTAACTGAGCAATTACAGAGTAAATTATAATTTTTTTTTAAATTAATTTTTCCCCACATTATTATAGGTGACTCTGCCAACAGTGAAATCTCATTGATTAAAAATCCTGCTCCATTGTATATGTAACATCAAATATGAAAATATTCCATGATTCAACATCATCACAGCCAATTAGGACAGTTTCAGTCAGGACAAACAATACAATTATGTCAATGGAAACTTGTTGCATTGCGCCTGGTTTGGACACAGCATTTTAGAATATTTCCTCTTTCTCCCTACATTAAAGAGCAACCAATCCCACAAGTCTCTCTTAGGCAAATGCTGCCTTATGACTCATGCTTCTCTGAAGCACTCAATGCTCTTTGGGACAACAGTTAAAATGCAGCGAAGAGCTTTAAAATATGGATCCAGGACACATTTAATTCTTTACAGATACTCTTTAGACCCACACACTAACGATGTAGGTATACTTAGATCTAGAGATGTCAAACTGATGTCTGACAGTTGAAGAGAGACAGAAAGTTTTGCAGACAGGAATCTGATAAAAGTCCAATCAGATGACTCCAGGTTGAGTTATGTGTGTGCGTCTCTGTCATGCTTCACTCTTCCTTTGAAGCACAGGAAGAGCGAGAGGAGGATAAGAATTAATTAGCTCTTCAAAGCAGAGCATGTTGATGTATTCCCACTGTGCCTCTGTCTGCGAAAGTCTTGCATCATGGCTGTTTATCGTACTCTGTGGTAGCATCACACAAATATTGTAGAACCATGTTACTAATGCAGACCTTTATGCCACCCTACAAACGTTACTTGAGTAAACACAGAGACCTTGTTCAATAGCGTGTTGGTGACACTATGACACATTTCTGTCTCGGTGCCCAGTGAGTCAGTGGTTTAACAGACAGCAGTTTTGTATGGAGGTGAGGAAACTGCTTTAGACTGATTCTTTCCAAGACACCATAATGTCACATCTGATAATCTAGAACAAACTCAAGTGAGCTTTAGAGGGCTTTAGAGCTTAGAGAATATTTAAATTCAGCATTAAACAACACTCACAACCAATTTTGCTTCCATAATCCGATGAATTTGTGAACGAATCAAGACAAAAAAAATGTGGGTCAGGGCTAGGGGTGTGTGACATACTGTCTATGATAATATCGCACTTATTGTTTTAATGATGCCTTGAGAGTGTGCGCAAAACACACTCTGCATTGTCTAAATATCATTATACAAAAAATCCAGGAAATATTGAGATATCACTTTTTCGTCAATATCACACACCCCCAGTCAGGACTAGATTTTATGTTTTGGAAATTGATTTGATTAAGAAAAGTGTCTCTATTACAGGTAGGTTGGATGGGAGAAGTAAAAAAATAAGAAGGCTTGTTGACATCAGTGGAAAAGGGAAGTTGTTTCAGAGGTGGAGCAAGTTATTATATGTTGATCAAATTTTATGAAGTAAATATATGAGGTGAATTTTGATTGCATGTTGACTTTAATGAAAATCAAAATCCTTATTTCTCTAGTTCTAATTTGAAAGTAGTGACATCATTATATGTACTACCTTCAACCTTGTATCGGACACTATTTTTATATTTTCACCAGCAGGATTGTGGGATATCATAAGCTTCCTTCAAAAACTGACCAGTTGGAGGAATCTCGGTAGACAGAATGGGCATTCGATTCAGACTTGCCCTTTGGATACTGTTTGATGAAGTGGCATTAAGATTTTGGGCACAGCTGTTCAGACTTTGTCCTCTGTGGTACTTACTACATACCATGGAGATACAGAACAGTATCTGGTCATGGTGACAGTGATAGAGACCTTAAAGGGATAGTTCACCCAAAAATGAAAATTTGATGTTTTATCTGCTTACGCCCAGGGCATAGGTGACTTTGTTTCTTCAGTAGAACACAAACGAAGATTTTTAACACAAACCGTTGCAGTCTGTCAGTCTTATAATGGAGGTGAATGGGAATCACGGCTTTGAGAGTAAAAAAAAACATACACAAACAAAACCAAATTAAACCCTGCGGCTCGTGACGATACATTGATGCTCCCAATTGAGATTGTAGATAGAGTGTCAATGGTCCATTTGAGAGATAGGTGGCGGAAATGCACTTATAAGTCTGCGATCCACCGTAAAGCAAGAAGAAGAAGAAGAAGCTGCCTCACGTGCCTGCTGTTGAGAACGCGCTCAGGAGGATGAGCTCAGGACAGTTCGGACATTGAGTGAATCAGAGGTAAAAACGATATAAATACTGTTCAGTTTCTTGCACAGACCGATCGTTT